CCATATATATATATATATATATATATATATATACAGAAAGTAAAAGAGATTTATATCAAGGAAATGGCCATGCGATTGTAGAGGCTGGAAAGTCCCAAGTCTGTGGGTCAGGCTGCAGGCTTCTCCTGACTCACGTAGAAGCAGGGGCTGGCAAACCCAAGATAGGCAGGTAGGATGGCAGGCCACAGGCCATGGAGGCTGATGAATCCCAAGATTGGCAGGTAAGCTGCTAGCTCAGGTCCCAAGAACGAGAGGTCAGATGAGGATCCAGAACAAGGAAAAGCAAGTGAGCTCCACTAGAAAGTCCACATAAATAGGATGCAGGCTACACCCCAAGGAAACTCCCTTTCAACTGATTGGCTATTCATAGCATATCTCATTACGGAGGTGATTACATTATATCAGATCTCATTATGGGGATGATTACATCATTACGTAGCTGCCAAACTACATCATAACTGCCAAACCACTGAGAATCATGGCCCAGCTGAGTTGACACACAACCATCCATCACAGCCCACCCCTGGGCACCCATACACTCTCCCTAAACCATATGCAATCTCTAAAAAAAAGACAATTATAAAACCACACTTGCACCTACCACGGGTACTACTGAAAAGGCAATAGCCCTGTTTACATCTCATAAATGAAGAAAACAGAAATATTTGATGCACACATACAAGGAAGAAATAATGATAACAATTACAGTCCTCATTTCTGCAACTGGTCACATGATCATAGCTGGTTTTTAGAACTACCTTCTTCTACCACCCATTCCGTACTCCCTTTACCCTCAGCAAGCATCTAAGCTGGTTATTGTTCTTCGCCTGGTGGGGTGACCCAAACCTTCATTCCTGAGAGTCTGGGCCATTAGTAATCATGTAGGAATTGGGTTGCTGTAGTTTTCCATTGACTTTAATCACAGGGTATGGTAGTACTAAAAGATACCCTAAGGGATCTCCTGCATTCCAGACATGCTCTTCTTTATTATGTAATATCAATCCAGTTTCCTCTTGGTAATCAGGATCAATCACATCAGCCAATACAGTAACTCCCTTCTTTG